AGTCCCCCTGCACCTTGGCTCCGGCTGCCCTGCAGGGTTTTTTTTTTTTTCCCCCTGCTTTGCCTTTCTGGCCGCCCCGCATTTTTTTTTTTTTTTTTTTTGCTTGGGGCGGCACAAAAGCCAGAGCCGGCCCTGGTCAGATCCTATGATTAGGAGTCAGACATTCTTGAGTTCTGATCCCAGAGCTACCACTAATTCTAGAGCTAACACTAACTGAATGTCATTCACAAAATGTATGAACTGGAAGAGGTTTTATATAAATTACTGTAACTTTCAACTAGAAATGTTCAGTCTCTTTGATGCTTTGGACAGTGAAATGATGTTATAGACATGTATAAATCCCTTGCCACTTTAGATAAAGCTCAAGTTATACAGTGCTCCAGAATGAGAAACAGTACTGGGTTAGTTAGGCATCTAAGCCCAGAGCGATTAAATGGCACTGCATAACAAAGATTGGAGTGAAGGTGGGTTGTTGAAAACTGAGTAGGGAATTACTACTAACATGGTATGGTAACTTATCACTCACCAATTAGGTTAAAAAGCTGACTATCAAAATTATACAACATGGCTTGTTGCACTATGGTGTTGCAACAAGATCTCATAGTGAAACAATCCAAATCACAATGCCTCCCGACAAAGACTCTGCACTAAATTATGCCACTGAATGAAGATACCCTAATACCACCAAAGGTGCCACAAATAACTGCAGCAGGCATTCCAGTGACAATTTAGGATGTACATGAGTTGATGTGTGCTTGAGTTTAATCACAAAGGGCCCAGTTTGGGGAAGTTCTTGTCCCTTTGCTGGATTGGACTCAGAAAATGAAATTTAACCCCGTGCACAGTGCCAGCATAAAGACCCATGCTTCTTAACTTCCATTTAAGCCCTATTTTCAGACTATAAGTGACGCATGGGCTGGCCTTCTGTACAGGGTGAGTTTCACCTAAAATGAGCAGCAGCAAGCCATTTCAACAAACATGAATGCAAAGGATTATATGCTAACTAGACAAAATACAGTGCCTTCAGCTATGAAGGGCAAATGGAATAAGGGTAGTACACAATGTGGCTAGGCTACCCTGATCCCTTTAACATTCTTAAGTTATTCACAAAGAAAAATTTACACAAGAAAAAAAGAAATTCTACCTTTTCCTTAACTTTTCTTCTTCTAAAACTTCAAAAACACTGTAGACATTACAAGCTGCACGTTAGCAACATATGTTTGTAAGATTCTTGAAATGTGTATTGTTGCACAGCATTATGCATGAGTGCATTAGTTTGTATGCTCTGTTTTTAAACAAACACATAATTAGGACTTTTTAATGACTCTGTAACATGCATTATGACATACCCATGCTCTCTTATCCACATCCCTCCAAAAAATATTTGTTTCAGCTCCTCCAGATTGCCTGCAAATATGCCTAGTGTATGAAATATATTTGCATCGCATGACAAAATTTATTACACATTATGCAGTAGAATTAAATGCATTTGATAACATCTGGAAGTATTCAGAAATTACAACATCAAAGCAGTCATTTTGGCACAGTTAGGGAAAAGTAGACTGAATATTATTTTCATAATTAATGTAAGTGCCATGATTTACATAACTAATGTAAATACCAGAACCAGCCATAGAAAGGACTGCTGCACTGATGGACAGGGAGTAAAATTAGGCCCAGCCAGAGCCACTCCTACCCCAGCATCCTTTAGGCCCAGAATTTAAGAGACTTGGCCATGCTCTGGATGCACTAGGTTTCCCTCCTCCTGGATTAGTGTATTGTTAACTAGCAATTGTGCCCCTGTGGACTAGCTACCAACTTGGCCAATATCAGGGACTGAAATAGGGGCATCTCAAGCTGAAAGCCTAAGTCTCTACAGCCTGAGCTAAACATTCAGGCTCCAGAGCTGGGGGACTGTAATTGATTCACCACCTCTGTGGATCAAGCACAATGTAGGCCACAACACTGGGTTATATTTGCACGATTTCAGGGTGCAATAGTAAATTTCATTTTTATGTTGTACTAACCTATTTTGTGCATGTGTAGGCGGGTGTCTACGTTCATCCATATGGCACTGGAAATTGTGAATTATCACATAGGCAGGGGTGGTTGTTTGTTCCAGGCATGTGAAGAGTATCTCTCAATTTGTCTGGGTGGGGTAGTTACATGAAGATTAAATTATTAAACTAATTTAATCTAGAAGTGGGAGGAGGGTTTACTGTCCAGCTGGGAGAGTATTATTTCAAGACACAGGAATTGAGAAACATACTAGTATAGACCCCATGGATTGCCCTGCGGCTGGTGTAACTTTCTCTTCATGGCTTTCCCCTGACTCATGGCCTGGGTCAGAAGGCCAGCCCTCAAAGGTCAACAGTCAAAGTCATGAGACCTGTGATCATCTGTGTGATTAATGAAGGGGGTGGGAGGAAGGGTAGCTCCCTTTGACAGACACTCAGCCAGCCAGCAAGCTGTAAAATCCCTCTTGGTAGCTGTTCTCGGCTTGCTTTACCTGTAAAGGGTTAAAAGTCCCCCAGGTAAAGAAAAGGAAGTGGGCACCTGACCAAAAGAGCGAGTGGGAAGGTAGAACTTTTTAAAATTGGGAAAGAAACTTTCCCTTTGTCTGTTGTTTTCTGGAGAAGGAGACACAGAGCAGCAATGCTATAAGCAGGAATACTGTGTAAAGTTTGAACCGGATATGAAAACCATCAGATCATATCTAGAACTACTTTTAACAACCCAAATATGTAAGTAAATTAGGAATGTTTAGGAAGACATGATAAGGTTTATTTCTGCTTATTTTTAAGGCTTGTGGACTCCTCTGTGCTAACCCCAGATGCTTTTGTTTGCTTGTAACCTTTAAGCTAACCCACAAGAAAGCTATTTTGGGTGCTTAATTTTTGGAATTGTTCTTTTAAAATCTAGCAAAAGCCTAAGTTCCAGATGTATTTTCTTCCTTTTTGTTTTTAATAAAAATGTACCTTTTTTAAGAACTGGATTGGATTTTTGGTGTCCTAAGAGGTTTGTGCATGTTGTTTGATTAGCTGGTAGCAACAGCTAAATTCTTTGGTTTTCATTCTCAGCTCCTCCCCGGAGGGGAGAGGGGGTACCCCACAGTGCTCCTTCCTGAGTCCAAAGGGGGTTTTTTTGCATTTGAGTGGTAGCAGCATTTACCAAGCCAAGGTCAGAGAAAAGCTGTAACCTTGGGAGTTTAATACAAGCCTGGAGTGGCAAGTATTTTTTAAAATCCTTGCAGGTCCCCACCTTCTGTACTCAAAGTGACAGAGTGGGGATTCAGCCTTGACAATCTGATTTCAAGTTAATTAGGCTCAAAGGATTGCCTCAGTTCAATGAAGAACCAGCAACTCTCCCTTGCTGTAATGACTATTTGCGCTCATCATTTTATCTAATCTTCTTATTGAAGTTGTGGATTAAACATCAATTTTCCCCCCTAAAATGGTGTCCTGCCCTCCTTCAGGTTGCACTCCTAGGAATACCGTTTGTGAACTGATGATATATCAAGAGAACATATGGCCTTGTCCTGTAGTCCTTTCTCAGGCATAACTTGGACTGAGCCCTAGGTGTCATTTAGATTGGAATAAAGGTTGAAGCAGACGTTCCAGTACTTCTGAGCAAAGCAGGGGATA